CTCGGTTGTGTGTTTGTCTCTCACTCTGATGTCCACTCTGAGGTGTTGACAAAGCCGCGTGAAGATACGTCTGAGCGTGAGAAATGCAGCCGACAGAAGAGAATTGCGACCTTGAGGGGCAGATGGAAAAAGGGGAAAAGCGACACAGCTGCACAAAGGACGAGAAGAGAGGGGAGATCGAGGCACCTGATGGTTTGCTAAACTCGTGGTGCTTACCCCGATTCAGTCATGACTTACTTCAACCGCGCGCCACCAATCCTTATTTTTCCCTTCACCTTTCCATCCGCCTACTCAATATCGACAGGGCCCCTAGGCAATGGTACACTCTTTTTTTCTCATGATGAAATCACACCAATTACAAGGTCGTATTGCCGGCATCATAGGCGCGCATGATTGGTCGGCGGGCTGCCCCTTTCGGCTCAATAGGCTTTTAGACTTTTTGACTCTGGAGCTTGTTGGGGAACTCATTTGGGGTAGGGGAAATGATTAGCATGCTTGCTAACGGCCGGCTGGCAGGGTCGCCCAGGTCCCCCGGGGAACGTTCCCAGCCCACGGAAGACCCGGAGCTCGCTGTGCGGTGCGGTGCGGTGCGGTGCGGCGCCCTCGCGTTCCTCGACGACGTCGTGTTCAGTAGAGTGGGGAGGGGGAACAGACTGGAGGAGGAGATGGTGGAGGATGATGATGAGGAGGAGGAGGAGGAGCAGGCACTGGGACGACACGGTCCCGGGGAATGTTCCATCTTTCCAGTTCAAAGGCAGGCCGCCCGGGGGCCCGGGCAAGCCGGAACCTCCGTGTTTACTTTTGCTCTGTTTCTTCCTCCCGCCCCATCCCCTCCGACATTCCTTGCCCTTCCGTGTCGTTGTTTGGGTTACCGCCGAGTCTGATCGCGAGAAGGCACTGAAACGTCGTCCAAATTTCTCACAGGCCACGGCCGCGTGGCGCTCGCTTGTCTGGATTATTGGTCCGGATGGCCAGGTCACGTCCTGTCCGGATGATTCAAAGAAGGGGGGAAACTCTTCTTTTCCTTTTCCTCTTCTTCTCCTTGCGTCCACTCCGGATGATGTTCAGCGGATTTTCTGCTCCGTCCAAGTAGATGAGGCGGAATAAGGCTGGGATCAAGGCTGATGGAGCCCAGATGAAATCATTCAATCCCATCACCCAAGACGGGACGTATGTACGTACAAACGACATCGTCATGGCGCGGGGGCCTCGCTCAGCCCTCCCACCCTTTTCTTTTTCTTCTCTCCCTCCCCCAGTTCCAGGGATTTGGGATCGCAGGAGAGACACAGACATAGAGAGAGGAGGAGGAGGAGAGAGACATGGGCGGGCACCATCGATCACGTCCATTGGGCACCAAGACACACACTCACACACTTCACACACCCATATGCATCGAAGACGCAGCAGCTCGTGCGTCCGCTTCACTTTGATTTGCTCAGGGAGGCTTGGACTTTACCCATCACTAGACCGCCTGCAGACTACGGGCCTGTCGCTCGTTGCTCGGGCCGCTTCCCCCTCCTTCATGCTTTGGGGGCCAACCACAAAGCACACGTCGAGACATTGGGAAGCTAGGGAAGGGACGGCCGCGGTCCCCGTCAGAGACATACCTAGCGCACATGCAGGCATATCGTCTGATCTCACCCCTTACCCACATCATCGCTCCGTTTCCCTGCAGGCAGGTTGCTCGCGTAACACAAGACAGAATTATTGACGCTGCGGCTGACATCTTCTTGTCTTCTCGCATGATGTTCATGTTCTGCAGCCTCACGTCGTGCTACCCGAGGCTTTTTTGTTTTGGTTTTGGATGTACGATCCATCCCTTTACACAGAGAGACTGACGCACGACATGATTCTCTCCGATCCCGTGTTCACGTTGCGCAGCAGAAAGTTCCCGATCCGCCCAGCGGGTCTCTACACACGCCGAGCCGGGCCAAGAGCCGACCGAGAAAGCTTGATAGGCGGCGGGGACGGCCGCAAGAGAAACGGAACAAGGACGGGGAAGTGCCTTGTTTCCCCCAGCTATAGAATTGAGTGGGATGGCGAAGATGCTCCTCATCCCCCCTTGAAGACGGGAAGCTTCCTTTCTCTGTTTTGTCTCAGGATCCGCCAGTCTTGAACGGAAGATCTGAATTGAAGATGACAATCACCGTCACATCTGGGTTACTGATCGATTACTACCCACATTTGACTTACATCGGTCACACAGGAATCGATAGAAGTGTCGGCATGCCTGCTCCTTCAGGGATAGATGCAAGGCCCTGCATGCTTCTCTGGAATCTCCGCAAGCAACTATGGATCGGCTATCGAACCCGACGCAGGCCTCAGGAGGTTGCAGATGGGGGGGCCGGGCAAGCCACATGACAGGCCGGGACGGTGCGGCGTCCGTCCCTTGGGCACGCAGGACGCAGCCGCATGAAGGCTCAGTCCGGGGCTGGTCGAGTTGACGCCCCTCCCCTCCCCGCCGGGCAGTCGTTCTCGGCTCCTCGGCGAAGAGTTGCTTGGCCTTGGTCCGTCGTCTCCTTTGGGCCGGCCAAGACAATCATCCGTGTCACGTTTGACAGATGCGGACTCATGTCTCTCTCTGCCTTCTTCGTGTTCCCTCTCTCCACCTTTTACGGGAGAGGAGAGCACACACAGCAAAACACACACGTAAGGAGAGAGGTATGTGCGGACCTAAGCGCCGGACCGCCGCCCGTCCTGTTGCCGCGCATATACTTTCAGTAGTGGCGCCCGGCTCTCCTCCGCCTTGTGCATATTCCTCGCACCGGCAGACCTAGCGCTAATTGCGCCTGCGTTGTTGGAACCGCGTTCGTCCCCGTTCTCGACCTCGTGTATTATGGCATTAGAGGTGCACCGCCGGAACAAGAGCCGTTGGGGCCGATTGTTGCCGACGACAAGAAGCATCTACTAACTGCCCGTTGAGTCAAGCGTCGAGTTATTAGTTGGCATGTTTGGCATATGCCAGCTGAATACAGATACAGAAACTGGCTTACACTCACCCACCCCTCGAGCTCTCTCCCCTACGTCCACATCAAAGCCACAAACGCCAGCCACAGCGCGTAGCTTCATGTCTTGAACGTGACGACCAAAGACGGCGTGGGCAAGCGGCAAGGACCCTGGAAAACGTCGTGGTTCGCCATTGGCGCAAGCCTCAAGAACAACGAAGCCACACGTCACAGGAGTGAAAGAGGGAAAAAAGGAAATGCACGGCCTCGTCCATTGACGTCTTGTCTTTGACGTGGAAGGAATGTGTCGCGGTCGTTGGAGGGGGCGAGCGGGGCGGGAAAAGAAGAGGCTGAATCCGAGCGACCACGACGACAGGTTTGTGCTGCAAGCCCAACACCGCTTTGGCATGTTCCTTTTCTTTACATCCATCCCCCTTGGGCCCCAACCCGACTTCCCACACGCCCCCCTTTTCCTTTCCCCTTTCCCCTTTTGAGAGAGAGGGGTCTGATCTGTCTGACCTGCCTGTCTGCCTGTCTGCCTACCCGGCCGAGAGGCCAAGATACACGCCTTCGAGGTACACACCAAGCCAGGCCAAGCCGAGCTAAGCAGCCGCACCCCACGGCCTGGGCACAGGCGACACTGCATCTGCAATTTTGCAGTCATCTCGATGTGTTGGGTTCGGTAGTTCCTTCCTTCTGTCGCTGTCCCACTCCACTAGTTCCCTTGTCCACCACCTAGTTGGTTCATTGTGCTGTTTCTCGAGTCTATGTGGAAGGCTGGTAAATGTGGCTTGCGCTTGATTCCTTCTGACGTTGGTTCTCTCGGCTTTTTATTTTTTCCAACTGGTGCGAGGGCGGTTACGGGAGTATCTGTTGGTAGAGGTGGCGTTTAGGTGGCGTTCGAGGGAGGCATTCGGTGTGTGTAGTAGCACGCGGAATGACCGAGGAACAGTTCGGCCCGTGGCATTGGCAGATTCAACGCGGAAACCGAAGCCGACGCGGGTGCATACCCGGTGTCGGCGGTCCAGGTATGTAAGTACACCGGGGTTTGGTGAGGTTTGACGGAGCACGCCGCGATGCATGAGCAATCCTAGCGATGGATATAATCTGGCATCTTATTATACAAGAAAACTTGTGGAGGTACGTTACACACTCGCAAACTCGCGTCAACTCTTCGCATATCATGTCAAGTCTCGGAGCCCCCAGTTTGGTACGATCAATCGGCCTCCATGGGCCTCTGAACAATCAAGAAAGCCTCGTCTAAACTCGGAATTTGATATCCACAAGCATGAGGATGACCAGGTCAGATGGGTGTTGGTGATTCACCCTCACGTTATTATGCCTGTGGCGTGAGGGGAGTCTTTGATGATAATCCAACTCTGTGTAATATGCGTTTCCCATTAAACTGCCGATAGGATGTCTCCTGTTGATTCTTGTGGAAGGCAGACCGTATCCCAGAGGTACGGGGGGGATACGGGAGGTTGTGGCTTTCCTCGTGCTGGAATAGAACGGTGCGGCATTATTAGGCAATTGGCAAGATTCAGACTTGGAGATGTCCAGCTGAGGGACACCCCCTTCCGGTCCCAGGCCGGCTAAGCATCACCGGGGGCGTCTGAAAGACCATGATTGAACGGCTTGTGTGTGTCTGTCGCGCTCTCTGCGGTTTTCATATTGAGATAGCCGCTCTCTAGACGGAGCCAACCATTGGTAGACAAGAAGGAGAAGAAGAAAACGAAATAAAAAAGGAGGGAGCGCGGAGCATCTCATGCAAGGGTATCTCTCCAGTCTAAGCCCCCATCGCAATCCAGGTGTTCTGTTCGTGAGTGCCACTTCTCTTCTCTTCTTTTCCCTCTTATCTTTGTTTTGTTGTCTGTTCAGCCGAATCAACCATATCTGCGAGCCGCTCGCAGCCGTAGACCCGTCGTTCTAACCTGATCGGTTCCTTCAACCTCTGCTGTAGATTGTAGAGTCATCTGCTCCTCTTCAACATCCACCTCATCTTCCTCATAAGCGCACAGCCGCAAGTTGACAGCCAAACTGGTTACAGTAGGGTCATCAGCCCTCTTGAGATGGCATCGCCGTCGGGTAAAACTCTGGCAGGAACCGGGTGTTTGTCGGGCTGAGGACCAGCTCTGGGTATATGCCCTGGATGATGGACCAACACCACCTAGCATCGGCATCGATATCCACGAGACTCTTGAACCATTCAACACACAGAAATATGGTCTGCCTCGCCTGCGCGTTCCACGCGCCGGGTCTCTTGAACTCCTCCTTGTCCTTCTTACCAATACTGAGACACACCGCCTGCAGCCTCGGGTGCGTGATGGCGAGGCGTAGGATGATGAGAATCCCCATCAGGTTGTGCGACCAGAAGTAAAGACCATGGATCAGGCGCTTGCTGTGGCACATCGGCGGTATGATGATGGGCCAACAAACACACTGCCGGAGGTATTCCTCGGCCCCGACGAGGTCTTGAGAAGACAGCTTGTCAGAATGCACGACCCGGTAGATATAAGGACGGTACAGCAGACACCGCAAGTAACTGAGACGAGTGCGCAGCAAAGCTTGGAGTATGGCCTCGGGCGACGCTGGCTGTGTCGGAAGAACTCCCGTCGCGATCTGCTGCTGTGCCATAAACTGGTTGCTGGGAAAATACACGGAACCGATTGAAGACATGACCCCTTCCATGCGTTCTTCCCCAGGGGTAGGGCACGGCGCTGGGTATGGCGTGGGATACTGCCCTGGGAACGGTGTAGGGGTCATGCTTTGGTTAGTATTCCACTGAAGTCCTTCCATCAACTGCGATTGCCATTCGTTGAGACTACTTTGCATCTGGTCAACTGCAACGTGTAGCTCATGGGAAGCCTTTTCCTTGGCCGTCTGCGTGAATAGCCCCGGACTGGAGGCCGGCCTCGTCGAAGCTGGGTGAAGCGAGGTCGTTAGTGGGGTACATCCCAAACGGATCATCGTATGATGGGTGGCATGGGGAAGGCTTCCTGCTGCACTTGCGATGGTGCAACTCAGAACTGGCATATGACGACAAAGTCATCGCTGAGCGCCAGCGAGAGGAGAGTGGTCAGAGTCAGAGGCGCTGCTGAGAAGTACTCACCCGTTAACAATGTGCGATGTATGTCGAGCGCGAGCTTCCGCATGCTGATTTGCGAGTAAAAATGCTCCTCGTAAACGCCGTAACCTGCATCTGGGACCAGACTGTCTGAGAACATGTCTGGCCACATTTCGCATTCTGTCGTATTGAGCGATGTCACAGGCAACTCGAGCTCCAGGTTGAGTCCCCTGTTCAGTAATCATTCGTCAGACAACTCAGACAGACGTGGAGGGATAGACACAGGGGATGACAGGACAGGCGTTGATAATCCAGCCAAACACCACGAGGGGGTGCGAGGGGGGTGCGATTAAAGCAGACGATGCGGACGCGCATCGTCATCAGGCTGCGGGAATGCGCCGTGAAATGGAAGATGGGGTTGGCGATGACGATGGGGATTAGGGGTCCAGTTTGGGGCGTTGGGTTGGGGGTCCAACTTTTTTTTTTTTTTTTTTTGGATCGTTGAATTGAAGATGAAGGGAAAAGGGCGATGGCACATACGTTTCTGTGATGGAGCAATGCCAAAAAAGCCGCCGCATCAGATCTGCCTGCGTCTGAGATCGGTCCTGGCCAGAGCTGCTGCAGGCTCTCATCAGCACATTGGCCAGTAAAAACAGCGCACCGGATGACCCGCGGCAATAATGGGGGTAAATAAATCTCACCCGGCAATCATCCTGTGGCAAGCCAAGGACGCGTGAACGGACATAGCCCGGAATTCCTGCCTCCATCTTAGCCAAATACCCACGGCAACCCCTCCTCTCGCCGACTCTTACCATGTGTCGAGAACAGCATTCATAGTACAATCTGGTCGTGGAAACCACCAAGCTCGAGTCAGCCAAAAAATTTCTTTTTCCAACACTCACACCCAAAAAGCGCGGGTGCGGCTCCCGATGCGGGCACATATGGGACGGGCCCCCGGTTCCGGTCCCGGTCCCGGATCCGGAGCCCGCCCGGAGCCCGGCGCCACGCCCGGCGCATCCCACCCTCCGATTACGAGAACTCACCCTGCTAACACGAAGACCTGTACGGCTTCGATGGTGGATTCTTCCATGAAGAATCCCATGCGGCGTCTCGCCTCGTTGAAATAGTGCAGGCCCGGCGGTTGGTTGTCCATTTCCAAACTGGCACCCCCAGTTGAAGCCATGTGAGCAAGAGCAATCGTCAGAAACACCAGGGCGCATTCTGCGCTTTCTTGCGGAACTTTACCGCTGACTGCAGATGACAGTGTTCTCTTCATGAAGTACTCCTGGTCTAAAACAGGGTGCATCAGGTGGAAAGTACTGAAGTATATCGTCGATCCTTGCTCCAGCCATTCTTTGTCGGCATAACTCAGGGTCGCACCGCCCGCAACATTCGGTCTGAGAACATCATGCGAAAGTTTCCCATCGCGTCCTTGGCTTTCCATTAGGATCGACGTAAAGTTTGGTTCCAGGAGGGTCTCAAGTCCCTCTATCTTGGGCTCAGCAGCTCGAAGCATCTCCCACACTGCACCCCACCGCATCATTCGATGAACGGCGGACACGTACTGCAGCTGCGTCTGTAGGGGCACGGGCATCTGCAAACTCGCCGTCGCGGTTTGCGACTGGTAGCCGAAAGGGTCGAAAATCTGGTAAAGTCTAGAAATGTCTCCGCTGTTCTCATAAATGTGGTGGATTTTGGGTTCGATACGAGCTAGATAATCTCGAATTTCTTCCATAGTTCTGTCTTTCCTGTCGCACATCATCTAGTTAACAAAGGCTGACAAGCATCCCTCCAGACGACCCCCAGCGAGGCAGTCCGCAGGGATTAAGAGAGGAATGCTGGGAACAGACATGCAGTCGTTGATGCTATCGGACAGAAGAGGGTTAGGCGGGAAAGGAACTCACTTCGTCACGGGCGGCGCCGCATAGTCACACTGGAACCCTCGCTGTTTGCAGAAGCTGCACTTGGGTTTCTCCGCGTCGCATGCCTGCTTTCTTCTACGGCAGGTACCGCATGCCTGTTATCATGTCAGGTTTCTTCTGGTTGACAAGAAAAGGCCAAACAGTTACTGGTCGGCAAGGGAACAGCTGTCAGACGGCGACAGATCGAGATTGCCAAACTCAACGACCATCGGCAGTCAAAATTACGAGCAAAGCCACGTCGTCAACATAGCCGCAAAACTTTGTGCTGTTGAAGTCGACGCAACGCTAAACCTGCAGCAAAAATAGCGAAAGGGTCTGTTGGACTTACCACCTTCATGACGGAGTTTCGGTCCCTTCTCAACTCGGCCGCGGCAGAGCTTCCTCGCGACATCTCGCTAGAAGGCCCTGCTGCTGCTTCGTCGTCCATGGTAGACCTAATAGTGACGGGATCGGAGGGGGTTTGATTCGGTTTGGGTGTTGGAGATTCATGAAGAACCTAGGACAGGTTGAGTCGAGGAGATGGCATGCCAAAAAGAACAACGCCAGGCAGTGCGAGGGTCGAAGGGGGCCAGATTCAGGCAAGCCGTCGAGGTGCTTGCGAAGGAGTGATTAACCCCAGGGGCGACGAGATCGGGTCTGAGAGGGCGAGTGATGGCGAGGGTGGCACTCGGCGGGCCACTGTCGCGGTCGCACAGAGGAGGACACGGGTGGCAGGTTGAAGCTGTGTCGTGAATGGCTCGAAAAGGTGGCGGATGTGGTCTAATTGAGTCTTGGGGTTGTCAAGTGGCAAGCCGTAGCAGGCACGTTGGGCAACATGGGGACGTGGAAGTGGAGGAGCAGGATGAAGAGGGCAGGGAGAGGGAGGGAAGGCGGAAGCGGAAGCGTCCTTCAACAGACGGAGTAGGCACGGCCAGAGACGGAGTTGAAGGGTCTCTGTTGCCCGGAGTGCATTCCGTGCGTGCTTATGATATTCTTTTTTTGTCCTTAGTCCCGTATCTCTCTCTCTCTCTCTCTCTCTCTCTCTCTCTCTCTCTTTCTCTCTTCCTATTTTCGGGGGGCGAGGGTGAGGCGTATGATAGTAGGGCGCTGCGGGGTGGCCTGGCGAGCGCACCGGAGGCGGAGGTGGCTGCAGGCAATTGATGTTGCTGTTTGGCCACTACTGGATATCGCCGGTAGAAGCCAGGCGGAGTATGAGTTTTTTTTTTTTTTTTTTTTTTTTTCCGACTGGAAAAAAGATTGGAAGGCTGGCAGCGACAATGCGGAACAAATTGGTTTCTGACTGATGGACTGGGGGTCCCGTTCTGGCCGGGGCACAAGGCCGTCTCCGATGGTCCGCGGTGCCGGTGGAAGCAAGTCTTGTTTCTCAAGCAACGCTAGGATGGCGAAGAGAAGAGCTCGAGAGTAAAAAAGACTGCAACCCGAGAGGAGACGAAATCGGCAGAGGCAACGACGACGATGGCGACGAGGATGGCGCCGGAGCAAGTGGCACACACACACACACACACACCTCACGCGCCGAGAGATAGTTCCGGAGCGAGACCCAGGAGAGGCGGCGGGAGGGTGGAATGACCCATTGAAGGCTCAACACAGGCAGGGCAGGATAATCGAGTGGGCGCACACAACTCCCATTGACCGAGCGATATGAATGGAAACAAGAGGACAAAGCAAGCCTATGAGACGTATCCAATAACGGTGGGCGGAATGATACTTTTTTACCCTCAACAGCAAAGTCCAAAACTCACAACCGGCAACTAGTGACTGTGACAGGGAATAGGCGGGATGAGTGGACGCCGGGTGGTATTTACCGCTCAACATTGGGTTGTCCGCAGCCATCAGGTCTGGTCTTTTTTTTTTTTTTTTTTTTTTTTTGTCCCTCCCCCTTTCCCCCCCTTGGTTCAACGGGGGCATCTGACCGTACACGACACGACTGGAGTTGATTGTACATGCTCGAAACATGCAGTTCCTACCTTACCTTCGGTACATCATGCTTGCGGAGTCTTGACTTATACCAAATTGAGAAAATAAAACGGACTCGTAGGCCACCGTCACAACAGCCTACCTGGCTGAGGTGGATGGTGCAGGAAATACGTGGCGCACCAAGCGGTGGGATGCGATGCGATGCGATGCGATGCGACGACGAGTATCGCCGAGGTTGGAAAGGGGGGAAGGGGAGAAAAAAAAAAAATCGAGTCCAAGACCATGTCAAGCAGCCACAAAAGACTTACCTAGATTTGGACTCGCAACGACTTGACGCTGCCAATGGCTGACATGGGGCTCTCCCGACAAAGCGATGAGTAGCGGCGTCGGGAAGGGCAACAAGTATGGATACATGTGAGTTCAATGTTGCCGGGCTGAAGCCACTCCACGCCTCGTTTGTCTCTCACCCCCCTCCTGTTTAGCTCCCGCTTCTACTCCTCCTCGTCCTTTGCAGCAGTAGGTACGGATACGCCAGCGTTGGTGCGTGGAAGCCTGCCTACCTGCCTGCGTTGGTTGATAATACCCTAGCCCGGGATGATGCGAGGGAATGAGTAGTGAGTGAACCAGATTGGAAGAAGTGAGGGCCCGAGGCGATCCAGTCCTTTGGCTTGTTCGCCTGTAAGGTCGGTCGGTCGGTGTTGTGTTCATGACGCAGGCCCGGTCGTCGGTCGCTAGTACAAAAGGACTTGGCCGGGAGTTTGCTTAATAACGAAAGAAAGTGGTGGTGCAACATCTCATCGACTTGTTTGGCAGAGCCCTGTATGAAAGACAGGATGACCCCTCCACAAGGAATGAGTCCCCTACGCGGGTCGATCTGCTGGAGGTCCTCGGTTATCTTCCTTCTTGGGGGTGATGTGCAGTCCAAGAGAACCGAGACAGCCTGCGATTCATTTCGAAGGGGATGTCTTGAGGACGCCGAGCCCTTCGTACGTTAAAACTTCACTCGGGCATGCTGACCCCTCCGGCCCCGAACGAGATAGAGAGATACAACGTATCTACAGCAAAATCATCCATATGTGTGTATCCCTTGCGCTATAGGCCAGCGATACCTATGACACAGACTTCAGTAAGTGAAATGAATCTGGGGGCGAGCAGATTGGGGGGGAAACCCTCATAGGTACCGTTAGATGGATGAGCGACGCGGAGCAAAAGCTCGGCCAGTGACATTGCCATGCGAGTGCCGGTGTCAGCTTAGATCCATAGGCAGGTAACATATGTAGGGTAAGGTAGGTTAGGTAGGCAGGTAGGGAAAGCTCGAGAGCGAGAGAGAGGTGCATGGCGGGCCGGGAGACCCCCTAATCTTTTTTTTTTTTTTCTCCTCCCGCACAAGCACCGACCTAGCCAGCACTCGTGGAAGCCATTACTTGAGTCGACGGGGCGAATTGGATGAGTTGTGTGCCGGGTTTGCTGTTCTTTTTTTATGCGCGGCTTATGCTTGGGTCGGTCGGGGTTCGAGGACGGGGGAGATTTGCCGATGATCGTTGGTCGTCGGACGAGCCGGGCAGTGTGACCAGCTAAGCCAGCAAATCTTGAAAATCGCCTCTGGGATCTGTTCTGATATATAAAAGTGAAGAGGGGAAAAGAGCACGCTACACCAAATTGTTCTTTCCAGAGGCCGCTCGTCCGCCCCCAGGACATATTAATCTTGATCGTGAGAGAGCTGAATGCCTTCGAATTGGCACGAGGTCTGCTAGAAAACTTCTGTCCATACGTCACCGGCCAGGGTCTTGCAGACAGACTTGCAGGGCTACGTCACACTGCTTGACCTTTTGCGGCAGGGAATGACGGATGGCTGATGATGGCCTGAGGTTTTCTGGGACAGTGTTGATGCGTGAAGCGCTGAGGTTCCACGACCTGGACCCTCGACCCAGCTGTCCAGCTGCCCAGCTGCCGCCCGCCCCCAAAGTCCCAAGGAGCGTGGGAGCATACTGCGTACTGCGTACCGGTCGGTATTCATCGTGGCCCCAGAGTCTGGGCTTCCCCTACTTAGAGTACACAGCACCTACCTAACCTTGACCTGGTCTCTTGCCTCGGACGCGTGGGCAGATGAAGTTGAACATACGAATACCCGCCAGGCCGTCACGCCCCCAAACTTTAGTCTTCATGTTTCGCCGTGTGCAAACCCTTTTTGGAAGGGAAGCTAGGATGTCGAAACCCCCCGTCCTCTTTGAGCGAAGGCCACGGCTGAAGCTGCCTTTCCAGACAAAAGCCAACCTACATAGTACAAGTAACCTACCAGCCTACGTACAGGCATTGACTACACTGTGCCACCTGACTTGCTTAAGTAACGATTGTCAACTTGAGGAGAAGGTGAGTTTCAAGCGCCACGACCACTTTGATTTTGTCTCAATACCTGCCTGCCCCCCATCTCTGCTGCGCTGCAACATCCATGATGGGTTTCTCAGGTGCGAAGGCGTGCCATCACGAGGGCATCTTAAGCAAGGGCCAGTATCCGCACTGCGTAGGGCCAAGGCAAGGCCTGTCACAACTTACAACTCATGGCTCGTCACAGAGTGCCGAAGCCTGAAGGCATTCCAACATACAAGCACCATCCTCGTACCTGGTGCGGAGAGATGGCTTCTGTACTACGCCGCAGGTCGTTCGCCGTTGGGGAACCGGCTAAAGAAACTTCCATCGGACAGATGTGGCACGGGCAAGGGGGCCATCTCATCTGAAATGCTAGACCCGATCTAAGATTCGACCTGGCTCAACTTGGCTGGGTAGGGCTGGTCACTGCGGGCGAGCTAAAAGTTCACAGCCCTGACAGAGCCCGGGAGGGGAGGAGAATGCGCACACCACCTACTTGGATGAAAATGAGCAACGGCCAGCATAAGCA